CAGGTGGCATCTGTCAGTCACAGAATGGAGATTTTTTTCCCCAGGAAACCTAAAGACTCCTATTCTTAGTTTGCCTTTTTCCTTCCAACGTCCCCTGTGACAGGTGTGTCTTGTCTTCCACCCTTGACTGCTGGGCATATGTTTTTCTTTTTTGAAGTGAACGCCTCTTACCCATAAATAGATTGATTAGCTACATCCAGTTTGGGTTCGGCCCCACCTGGTGAAAGTGACCACAATAGCTTCCCCTTTCCTTAGCGAATGTAGCCAAACCCTCTTCCCGAGTTTCATCAACGCCCAGCTGGTCCTCCCGAGGCCCCTGGAGAAAGGGGGAAGCTGGTCAGAACATGGGGAGAGCAGACACCGTAGGATTGATGCCACGCCTTATGCCCCCCGCGTTCCCCCCATGTGCTTTCACGCAGCTTTTGAGGGGCTTCCAAATGGATTGGAAACCCAGGGAATCTAACTCCTTCAGGAGCCGAGCAGCCCGGAGGCTGGGTTATCACGCCTGTGTGTGTGTGTATGTGTGTGTGTATGCGTGTGCATGTCACAGTGTCATGGGCAGTCGTTAGGCCACGCACCTGAATTGGACCTGCGTAGACCCATGGTCAGCTGCCTGCTAAACTAATCGCTAACTCAGCTATATCTTCCCGGGCAGCTGTCGTTTTTCTAAACTCTCTAATGTATCGGATATAGCCAGACTCTTAGGGAATCTGAATGGTGTGGATACATACAGACCAGAAATGTTGTCCGTTAAATCCAAAGTCTGTTAAATTGAGGTCTGCAAAATCAGGGGTTCACAGTGTTTGGGGAAGGTTAGCATGTAGATGGTGTATGAAGTCATGAAGCTGGATTACAAAACAGTAACAGCCCTCGCCCGTGTGGCTCAGTGGACAGAGCATCAGCCCAAGGTCCAGGTGCCATTCCATCAAGGGCTTGTACCTCAGTGACAGGCTTGATCCCTGGCCCTAGTTGGGGTGAGTACAGGAGGCAACCAATCGATGTGTCTCTCTCACATCCATGCTTCTCTCTTTCTGTCTCTCTCTCTTCCACTCTCTCTAAAACTCAGTGGAAAAATATATCCTCGGGGGCTGATTAACAAGCAGAACAAAAACAACCCTGGCTCTAGGGTGAGCCTGAAGAGCAGAGGGCCAGTGACTGCGCCCTGAGACGTGGGAGGAGACGGGCAGAAAGGGAAGGGAAACAATGGTGGGTGTGAAGGCGGAGAACAGAGAGAGAAGCCCCTTGCTCAGGGAGGGTTGCCAGGCAGCTCCGAGGACCCATGAAGAGTGATGGTCATGAACTTAAAGTGAGACTTTATCCCAAATGGTTGGATAAAACCCCCACAGTCAGCTGTTAGGTGTATAGGCACGGAGAGCTAGAGAGTTGGGTATAACCAGGACCCGACTTGCCCAGGAGATGATGATTGGGGGGTGGGGGCGTGGGGAGGGCACAGGAGACAGGGGAGTGAGAATATGTGAAAGGAAGTAATTACCAGGATGGACCAAGGATTCCATTCTTGTGAAAAGGGAAGCGGGGAGAGGGTAGGTCCGTGAACTGGACGATCAAAGAGTCATTGAGCTATTCCTTCAGGATCTTAAGATGCTAATGCCTCTCGGACGAAATCAGGAATGATCATTCGTGGATTCCGTGCCCATCTTGGGAAGACTCATTGCTGGGGAGTGGTGAATTCACAGAATACTGAAAGCGAACACGGCAGTTTCAGAATTACATGTGCAACGTCTTGCGTTTATCTAGTGTCCTCATGTTTTTCAAATCGCTTTCCAAGGTCTTTTTCTCGTTTTGCATTCTCAAGTTTACATCACAGCCAAGCAAGGCAACTTATCAAAGTCTGGGGAGAGTCTTAGAAGTGTTAAAAGAATCAAGTGTCCACTAGCCCGTTTCCTAGATGGTAAGGCGTGTAAAAGATTCCCTTACCTTCTGAATAAGTTTATAATGTTGGGTGTTGAGCTACGTAGGATTTCGTCTATCGCTATATAATTACTTATATCATTTATTCTCATCAAAAATAATATATTGACTTTCAAAAGAGGATCTGGAAACAAATAGTTAATGTCATCCCACAAATGTGTACCATTCCTTAAATGCAAAAAATCAGTGCCAGTCACATTTGACATATCTCTGGACATTCGTGGACTGGGTTCAAGTGTGGAACTCGGAAATCTACATTTTTTTTCTTAAACTTTGCCAGATGGAGCTCAGATGTGGTCTGGCCATGGGGCAGACGTTACCGAACCCTCAACATCCACAAAGGAACCAGGTCATGAAACGCCCAACTTCCTGCCTCTGTACACATGACTCCTTTCCCCTGAAACGCTCATTCCCTCCTTTTTTTTTTTTTTAAATACACTCGACCTCCCCTCGGAGGTTTCATATTAAGTCTGGCGTGAAGTCAGTTTTCCTAACTCCTCTGGAGTCTCTGCGTTTCTCCGGAGGCCGCGTGTGGCACCGTGGGTGTTCTGACCCGAGCCATTCTGTGTTCTATCTGAGCACCTGCTTGTCTTACCCACTAAAGTAGCTTCTTAACAACAGGGACCCCTGTGTCGTTCTGAAAGCTCCTGGGATGAATGTATCCCTTCAAGGATGCTTTTGACACAAGCTGTTACATTAGGTGCCCCGAGGACCAACCTGGGGTAGGGACCAGGGAGGACAGCGCTGAGACCCCTGCCGGGAGGGGCAGCCCACTCCTCAGGAGGCCAGGCAGCTGGAAGAAGTCGTTGGGAACGAGATGTCAGACTCGGGTCTCCTCCCTGCTACCACCTCTGTGAGGCGTCTCCAGACCAAAAAGATTCTCCCTGTTTCAAACCCTCAACCAAGGGACGTTTTTGAGGCCTTTTAGGTTCCCTCGGGAGTCAGAAATGCCACCGCAGGAAACTGTACTTCAGGGAGATAGAGTGTATTGGGGCGAAGTGCTTGTTGTTTCCCAGGAGAATTTCATTTGGTGATCTGTAATTCTAGCGTTATCTCTTTAACGTGGCATGCCCTACAACTACTAAACTGATGCAAGTACCTTCTTCCCCACCTCCCACATTGGAGTCCCACGGCTTCCCAGTCCTCTCCTCGCTCTGGGTCCCCCGATCCCCATCTCCATCCCCACCCGGCACACCCGCAGGGACACAGGCGGCCTTCCATCGGGAGCCTCCCCTCCTTCTTGCCTCTGGAGCCCCCACGATGCTGACCCTGTTCCTTCACCATTTCCAGTGTCCTCCTCTGCCTCGGTCCGAACTTTAGGTCATTCTGTCAGAACCGTGACCTCAGCTCTCTGCTGTCGGAACCGGCGCTCCACTGCATAATCCATAGCATTCCGATGGGTAAAGCATGTTAATTCTTTATTAAAAAAAAGGAGAAGTCTAGTCTCCTCCCTTCTTCCTTATTCATTTGTGATGTGATGATGCTTATTCATTTTTATTTTGGTCATCAAAGGCCGTACTTCCAAAATTTTATCTAGGCCAAAAGCTTCACTCAGCACCTCCCATAGTGCCTGGCACATGGTAGACAAACCCAAAAGGTATTGACTGAGTGCGTGAAAGAATGGATGGATGGATGGGCTCAAATAGCGACTGTCTTTGGCTTCCTGGTGAGAGGACATAGAAGCCAGGCAGTAGTGCGAGGAGTGTTCTTAGGTAGACGAGGTTGGCAGTATCCTGGTTGACTGTCCTCTTAGATGCCCAGCGAGGTCTACCCCCCTCTTTTGAGAGGACAAATTAGATCCCCGTCTAGTTACCCCTCACCTTTTTCTAAGGGGCTGATTTGACAGTTGTGGCTACCAGCGGAGGTTTGGTCTTTATCACTTCCTTTAAAAAGGTTGAATTAGATGAACAACCTCTTGCTTTGGTTGAGATGCACCCTCCCTGACCTGTTCTCATCCTCTCGGCCCCATTTCCTCGTCTGGTTCTTATCATTGTCACCCCGAAGTGTCAGAGGCACCGCCAACATTTTGAGGAGACAGAGGAAAAAATCCTGGGGATACGGGAGCTGCCCGGTCTTTCTATTGTCGAAGACTTAGCTTGAAACTTGGAAGGAAAAGAAATAGCAAGAACCCCTGTTTTTTACACAAATAACCTCCCTGCTTTTTATACTTTCTCTGCATGTTAGCAAACATGCGGGTCTGGCCTGGCAAGAGGCTCTCAGAGGCCATCTTTCCTCTTGACATTTGGGGGAAGAAAACAAAACAAAAAGAGTATCTAGTTGTCTGGATCCCTGTTAAACTGGCCATGCATTCTATGAACCCCTGAATGGGTTCCTCTCTTGACAGCATCAGTAGTGAGAGACTCTAGTCCACGGAGCCATGGGTGATGACAGATTCAGGCCTTAGGTCAGCGGTTCTCAACCTGTGGGTTGCGACCCCTTTGGCGGTCGAACAACCCTTTCACAGGGGTCGCCTAAGACCATCCTGCCTATCAGATATTTACATGACGATTCATAACAGTAGCAGCATGACCGTTATGAAGGAGCAACAAAAATAATTTTATGGTTGGGTCACTGTATTTAAAGGACCAGAAGGTTGAGAACCACTGCTCTAGTCCAAGGAGCCGTGGGTGATGACAGATTCAGGCCTTAGGTGCTCACACGTGTCCCCTCCTCTTTTGTCGGTCTGCAAAGACGGACAGGAAACGGGGCAAGGGATGCAAAGACAGCAAAGTTCCCCGTGTGCAAAAATTAGACTTTCGCATCCACGGAAGCCAAGCCTTCCCAGATATTAAAAGGTGTGCACCTGCAAATGCTTCTGTTCATCCTGTCTGCCAAGAACTGACAGCCTCCCGTCCTGTTCTGAATGTCCGGCCTCTCTCTCCCGCTCGCAACAGATGCTCCCTCCATGCCCGTCACAGCCACCTGCCGCCGCCATGTGTCATGTCGCACCGCATAGATGTAATGCCATGCCTCCATCTCCTCCCCACCCTCATTGTATCCAAGCATGTGGTGTGCGATGACTCTTCCGCTGCCGTATACACTCTGTATACATTTCTCTTCTTCCTTGCAAGACTGCGAATGCTTCGGCCACTCCAATCGATGCAGTTATATCGATCTGCTAAATACAGTCATTTGCGTGAGCTGTAAGCACAACACTAGAGGGCAGCACTGTGAGTTATGCAGGCTGGGCTACTTCCGAAATGCTTCGGCACAGCTGGACGATGAGAATGTGTGCATAGGTCAGTCCCCTTATCATTTCAGCTACTGTTCTGTGCCTTTCACGCGATGGGGAGCTATGGAAGGCGGAGAGGCTGGGGATTTGTACCACGGCTGAGCCAGAAGGAACTTTCTCAACGGGGACAGCATCCCTGTGGTAGACTTAAAATTCACATGTGCTGGTTGAAATCGTAGTTGGGGAAATATATGGCGAATCCTTATGTGACTGTTGCTTTAAAGATGATAATGAGCTGAAAAATGTTTCGGAGATAAAGAATTTTCCATTTTCCTTTTGCATGAATTCTTAAAACCTGGTCATTTCAGCCTAACCTTAAAGTGAAGCTATGCATTCAACATTCAAAATGGGGACTCATTCTAGGGGCTTGAATTATCGATGTGAGAAGTTAGGATACAACCTCTTGCACATAATTGCTAATCAACAAATGTTGGTTGATTACAAATATTGCCATTTGCAACTGAAAGCCACATGCAGTTGGTAATGTAGAAGCCTTGCCTGCCTTTTTCATCCATAGAAAAGAAATCCCATTTATTGGATTTTTCTACAGTCCCCAAAAAGAGAAGCAGTTTCTCAAAATTATTCTAGATGGTTAATTCACTTAGCTTCGTGAGTCCTGGAAAATTGAGTCACGGGGTTGGGTCCCTGGGGCGCTGTCCCCACCCACCATGACGGTTGACCATGTCAACTGGAGAGAATCAGGGGCCTTCCCATCCCCCAAAAAAACAAACAAACCCTCCTGCCTGTGCAGAGTGGGACCCGTCTTTAAGAAAGGGAGCTGATAGAGAAGTAAGAACCAATAAATGGAATTTCACGTCATCATTTTCTAGGGAGAAATGCATATATTCAAAATGGTAAAGGCTGTGTATCCGTTACCACACTAATGGGTATAACCATATAGGCAACCCATTTTAAAGGTAGAATATTTCACATAGAGACTAATTTCAACAGAATACAGGAGCTGAAAAATGACAGATGGACTTTTCATCAAAAAAAGGAACCCAATCAATATGCAATTGTGTGATTATCGCTCTCCGATTGGATTGTCAAGGACATATAGGTCTCATTTAACTAGCTGTACACCTTGTTTTGAATTCGGTTGGGCCAAGTTTACATTCGACTGTGTATGTCTCCAGTATGTCCTATTTTTCAAAGCCTTCCTCACTTATCATTTGTGAATTAGTGGAGAAATCACTGGACTTAGAGGCCGGAGACCTGGGTTCAAGTCCCAGTGTGCTATTTAATAGCCATGTGCCTTAGGTAAGTCATCTGAGAACCCCTGGTCACATGGGGATCCCGTGGGAGGCGCGGAAGCTCTTGGTGAACTGTGGGCTGACTGTGAATGTGTTTTTTTACTTGATCCTCATTAACAAAGCGGTGTGTGTGTGTGGGGGGGGGGGGTTGGGGGGGTGTCAGGGGTAAGTGTTCCACTGATAATTTCCCATTTTCTAGTTGAGAAAAGTAAGGCAAGTTGACGCACATCATGTGGCGTTAGCAAAGAGTCCCTTTTCTGACTTCAAAGCTTGAACACATTCTCCCAGCCTCCCTGATCCAATTAGCAAAGCTATGCTTCTCAGATTTTTTCTTATATTTTTTTTATCAATCTTTATTGTTGAAAGTATTACATATGTCCCCCTTCTTCCCCATTGATCCCTTCCAACCTGCCCCGCCCCCCTGGAATGCTTTTGGAATGAGAGCCACAATTCCACTCCAACCTTAGGAACAGAAATTCGGTTGCCTTTCTAACACCGGGGTTACAAAGACTTGAGGATATTACTAACAACCCAAAGACACGTAGCTGTCTGAATTTGGAATGCAGAGTTCCATGTTGCTGAATGTCACCTGTAAAAATATATAAATGCCACACCATAAATATGGAAGCAAGAGAAAAGGCAAAATAAATAGGAGCGCAGGAATGAAACCTAATTATTTCTATTTACGTACGATTACAAGGTTTTATAACTTAATTTCATATTACTTGAAATAAAGAAAAAGGCCCCAAGAGAAAAGATTCTATCCCAGGGACTTTCTCATTGCAGGTAATGTAACAACGCCCCAACGTGTGCTATTTGGAGTAATATTCTGTTCTGAGGGAGTTGGGCCTTTTTCCGGGTCCTAAAATCTATGAAGGGCAATCTGCGCTCCCTCTCCGATTCTAAGAGAGATAGTTGTATCGTTGAATCCACGCTTGATTATCCACAGACAAGAGGACAGCCCATTCCGCTTTTGTCTTGTAAAACATAAGCTGCAGATAAAACATGGAAAGCTTACGTAGACATTTTTTATTCTACTTTTTTAAAAAATCATCCCACACACATTTTCCCCTGTGCTACTTTCTTCTCTTCTATACAGGTGCCATTCTATCTTTCTTACACCCTAGGGTCGTACAAGAAACTTTAAATCCTGGAAAGTCTGTTCATTAAAACCCTAAACCTTTGGGGAATTCTAGAACTTAGAAATCTTTGGAGAGCACTATTTTACACTCTTCAAACCAAGGAAGGGACTTGGTAAGCACAGAGGTGGGTGTTGTGAGGTGCCGTTACCTACATTAGCCAGAAGCTACAATGTCCCCCACACACCCGCTCCTTAAATTGTTGCCCTTTTCCTAAGGGGAGGAAATTGTTTTTAGAGAATGAACTGAAACGTGTGGCCAGCTGGTATCAGCAATGGTCTGTCTTTTGTCTTTAGCCCACACATGCGTATGTGCAACGAAGCAATAACATTTAGATTCCAGTTTTCCCACAGGAGCCACCAAGGGCAGGGAAATCGAGACTGAGGCTGAGGGTTGCTCCCTGGGGCCATGGGCAGCCTGTGGCTCATGGCCAAGGCCCAAGGTTAGCCCTGTCAGGCATAGGACCCTTCTCACTGTTCCCCACACTAAGCTCCCCACAGGGCTTAGGGCAGGACTGAGGATTGAATTTGAGAGGCTACACCACAAGGAACTCATGTTTACAGAAAGCACTCATGGAAACGAATGGGTATCTACCCAGCGACTTTGCACAGAATCGGGCGGTAATCTCACAAAAATGTGAACTTCATCTAAATCTTCTCTAAATATTTTTTTAAACGGCGCTTTAACAGCTGGCCGTCAAATCCGCTGGGGAACAGCCCATAATCTCTGACCAAACGTGGACTCTGTTGAAATAGCTGTACACCGCTGGCATCATTTTATAATCCGGCAAATGTAAAATGCAGCCAGATCCATGTTGCCACAGTGATCGCTGCTTTGGGATCGCTGGTGAATTTACCGGTTTTCACACAAATTCCAAACACAGCCGTGTCTCCAGAGATGCGTGGCATGGCCCTGTATGACGCAGCAATTACGTGGAGAGGGTAGGCTTGCACGCCTCGTCCCATAGACACTCCAGCAGGAAGCTAGCGGATGCCCGGTGTGTGACGTTGGGTAGTCACTGCCGGGGCCCAGCCGTTGCTACTAAACGTAGCTCAGCTGATATTGAAACCTCAGTTCAGGCCATCAGCGGTCCCTTCTTTAGAGCAAAGCAAACGCAAGACACTTTGAACCTATCAATCAATTGCAACGTAACTATGGAATCAAACGTCCCAACATGTTTCCTGGTGTTTTTCAGTCTAGCAGTGCTGCCTATTCTTCCTAGTTTCATAGAAGAAAAAAAATTCTCCAAGGCCATCCTCCTCAGCCCAGCACCTACCGTACAGCATAGTCCCATCAATAATATACTTTTAAACCCAAGTATTTGTGTGGAAGGTGGAGTGTAGCCCCACCTCTTCTTGTTATTCATTCTCATGACTGTTCGAGTAAGTTCATTACACCTACACCGTTTCCTAAGACAACCACTGGCATATTCCGTGGTTTAGACGTTTCACATTTTTGAGGAAGAAATAAAACAACTTTGTTTACATATTTTTGCATCTAAAACCTTATCATAATCAATTTTTTAAAGTATATTTTATTGATTTTTTTACAGAGAGGAAGGGAGAAGGCGAGTGATAAAGAGTTAGAAACATCGATGAGAGAGAAACATTGATTCAGCTGCCTCTTGCACACTCCCTACTGGGGATGTGCCCACAACCAAGGTACATGCCCTTGACCGGAATCAAACCTGGGACCCTTCAGTCCACAGGCCGACGCTCTATCCACTGAGCCAAACTGGTCAGGGCATAATAATCAATTTTTATGGGCTAATTGACTAGGGTAGTATGTGAATTCATGTTGGCCAAAGAAAATTCCACCACTAACAAAACATTGGTGGTTTATTGTCAACATATAGACATTAAACAGTAAAAAACATCTTACAGTTTGGAGATAGGTGCATACTTATACATATGCACAGAAAAACATCTTAAAGCCATAACAGAATTACTATTTTAAAAATTTTTAAACAACAACCCCCTACTCACACACATTAAAATAGGAAATGCCGATTTAAAATAAAACTAGTTATTGACAAACCATGCCAGCCAAGGAGAGAGCATTTTAGTTAACCTCGTTTTAGTTTTCCCTGTGTATACCTATTCGTCTTCTACATGTTTGCAGCAGCAGAATGCTGAACTATAAAGAGGGGGAAAATGATTTAATCACCACGAAATAAATCACAGTTCTAAGGCCTTCCACATTTTTTTTGAAGAAAGTAGCTAATTAGTTCCCATGGCAGAAAGAGTGAGATGGGGCCTCTGGCCCGCTGTGGTATTAAACCCTGAGTCTCCACGGCTAACGGGTGCTCAACTGGGTGACACTAAACTGGGACTCCCAGGGCTGCTCATGGTGGTTGTTCGGTTATTTGCTTGGAATGATTTTACTTGGGGTTTGTTGGGTTTTTTTTAACAAGAAAACCTCTTCATGGGCCCCTGGTTATGGAGGAGCCCAAGAACCTGCCCACGATCCCACGGAGGGGTGATAAGCGAAGAAACTTTGTCCCCCAAACTCCACACACCGCCAACCAGCTGGTCCTGAAACCTCTCAGGCCAGTGGAAGCCCGAGGGGACCTGGCCCAGCCTTCAGGCCGTAAAAACACCCCCATGAGGCTGTCTGTGGGCCGAGTCAGGAAAATGGCCCGTTTCTGTTTATTACGCACAGTTCAGACAATCTAGTGAGAAAAGTCTCAAACGTAGAAAGTTACAAGGGATCTCGGCATTTCTTTTCCTTTCCTGAGTGTGCATCTCAGCGGCATAAACGCCACACTAGCCAGTAGATCAGTCCCTACAGGGTGTCCATCCCGAGTTAAGGGAAAACCCGCCTGTGAGTGAGCCACGTGCGTCCGTATCGCCCTGTACACCTGTCCGGCGGTTCTCGGACCCGAAGCGTCACAGGCCAGCCCATTTGAGTCATTTCAGCAGCTTTGGCCCCGATGGCAGATGGTGAAGCCTCGCTGGCCACCCTGCTGGTGGCGTTCACGCGACCGTGTAAGAGGCCCCACCGATGCCCTCTCCATCAGGCCCCGTGGGCGGTGGGGAGCGCGATGCCTCATCTCCCTGGAAGGTTCTGGTTGATTTCCTCCTGTGTCATGAAAACAATATCCTGGGAGGCCGGGCAGGTAAATCGATGGGCCCGCCGGGGCCGCCTTTGCCAGAGCGTTTCGTTAGCGGCATCCGTCCCGAGGAAGCGAGGCGCTGATGGCCGGGGGTGCGGGTGTTGGCACCCTCCGGCCCTGGGCCTGCTCTCCAGCCTGTGTGTTGTCTCCTTTCTGCAGAGTGTTATTGTAACCCCTTGGGCTCAGTCCATGAGCGCTGTAATGGCTCGGGATTCTGTGAGTGTAAGGCGGGAGCCACGGGGCCTAAGTGTGATGAGTGTCTGCCGGGCAATTCCTGGCACGCCGGCTGTCGACGTAAGTAACTGGGGCGCTGCCCTCGCCCGCTGCAGCATGGCCCCCCCTGCTTGCCTGGCCGGCCGTGCAGCGCTCAGAGCAGAAAAAGGCCCAGCCCGACCCCTGACAAGCCTGGAAGGCTACCTGAGCCTTTTCCGCCACCCAGCGAGTTCCGATTGGCACTAGTGTTGGAGACGGATTTCAAGAATGCCTTTGCTTCCGAACCAAATGCCATTTTCTTTTATTGTTTTTATTATGTTTGGTTAATCCTCACGGAGGATGTTTTTTCCCTTGAGTTTTAGAGAAACTGGAAGGGATGGAGGGAGGGGGAAGAGGGAGAAATAGAGAGGTGGGAGGAGAGAGAAACAGATGTGAGACACATGGATTGGTTGCTTCCTGCAGGAGCCCGGACCAGGGCCAGGGATCAAACCTGCAACTCAAGTGCATGCCCTTGACCAGGAATCAAACCTGAGACCCTTTCGTGTGTGGGCAGACGCTCTAACCACTGAGTGACACCAGCCAGGACCCAAATGCCATTTCCTAACAAGTTCTAGAAGTAGCTATCTTATCCATTCTTTAAAGTCAGGATATTTTTCAGAGTCTGCTTTGGGACAGACTTGGTGTGTGTTTGTTTTTTCTCTCCGTCATTCCTTTTCCCACTTGCTTTTCTTTCTTCCTCTTCTTCTTCACCCACTGTGATGAAGAATGGAAGCCTGTTTATCACCTGTTATATTCGCTGAGTAGATGGTCCTTTCTTAGGTTGCATTTAGAAGCATTAAATATCCATGTTTCTCCTTTAAAATAATAAAGTAAAAGCTACCTCATGCCACGCTCTATGGCGAGGAGAGAGAGCAATTCATCAGCTGCCCAGCCGGTGTCTTTGAGGCCCGGCTCCGGCCCCTCTGATGGCTAGAGCCACTCACATTGAAATATCGTACGCGGATCCGTGTACCTGGCCAGACCGTAAATTCAGTGGCACAATAGGGACCCGGCCAGGAAGCCCTCACCGCAAAACGAGGGCTGGTGTGTCTGTGGTTCGTATATTTCTTGAGCCAGAAGGGACCTTGGAGCCCCGGAGTCCATAAATTAAATGGTATCTACATCTCTATCGCTACCCTGGCTATCATTCCCATCAGTGAATCTTAACCAGAAACCTGACGGCAATCCATCTAAGGGGCATGTGACCGCCAGGGGAGGATAAATGGCGAAAATCAATGCTGATGTTACGCCTCTAAGGTTGGGCACCACTCAGGGAGCCCTGGATGGAGGCCGGGGTCGCGCGGTCCAGCCTCAATGCTCGGAGGGTCAGCAGGCCTTCGGAAAACCTTGTCAGGGGAGGCGGCACGTCGTGTGGGGTGTCAGGGAATGTGAATTTCAAAATCTGAGCAGAAGCCTCCTGGCGTCCTGCGTAACCTTCTCTGCTTTTTAGTTCTGCACCAACTCTGCACCCATCTACACCCGGCCGGCCGGCTGGCTGTACGAGGCACCAGGCAAATCCCCAGCCCAGTAGAAAATCGTGCCAACCAGACAGGTCACCTTCCATGGTTTGTTATCCACCTTAAAAAGTTTAAGAAAATAAATGTAAGTTGATTCTAACAACTCACCGTACCCGGAATGTCTGAAATGGTATCATTGCAACACATAATGAGCATTAAAATGATCAAGGAGACGGTTTACATTTTCCCTCAGGCTCTGCAGTCAGACGTGGGTTTTGTGCTTAAACAGAACAGCTCAATTAGGACTGGCCATATTGCGAGGCGGAATGGCCACATATGTCTACCATATTGGACCGCGCGGCTCTAGAGGGTTCTTTGCTTGCTTGGCGCTTGGAAAAGAAATGTCAGCACGCAGGGCCTGTCTGAGCCCGTGGCAGCAGGGCTGTGCGGAAGGTGTGGCTGGCTCCTCGCGGAATTGAAGTCGCCTGGAAGATGCAGGTCTACGTAATGCAAGGCCTGGGTGGAATGTTCCACCACTCTAATGTCTCGGGCGTCAGGAAGTGGGCCGTGCGTCGGCCAAGGTTAGGTGGACCCAGGAGCTGGAGGGCCGGCATCTGGAGCATGGCATTAGCAGGCAGTCCAGCCCTGGCCGGGTGGCCCAGTGGGTTAGAGCGTCATCCCATCCACCAAAAAGGTTGTTGTTGTGGGCTCGATCCCCAGTCAGGATGCCTACGGGAGGCAACCGATTGATGGTTCCCTCTCTGTCTCTCTTCCCTCCACCACCACGCATACTTCTGCTTGCCCTGAGTTGAACCCATCCTTGTGTTAGCTTCATTGTCAATGGCAGTGATATTAACCTGACAACAAGGAACCAACACCAAGAAGAGACAGTGGGAGAGCCAGGCTCACAGTGGCCTTGGCAGCAATGAGCGGCCCTTTAGGTGGGCAGTGCCAGGTGAGGAGGGAACAGGACAGGGAGCTGCGGCCCCCTAGAGGAGCCATGTGGAACAGCAGTCAGAAAGGACTGGATCTTGCCAGTTACTGACACCATTGTTTATGATAGTGAGTGTATACATAGGCTTTGGAGTGATATGGACCTGGGTGTGAATCTCATCTCCGCCCCTTACCACCTTCAAGACTTAGGGGAAATTACTTGGACTCTCTAAGCACAGTTTTCCTCTAAAAATGGGGGTAACGCTAGGACCTAACACATGATAATCGTGAAGATTCAAGGAAAATGATGAGGGTGGCCCTGTGGTAGGTGGTCAGCACTCAGTTATTAGTTCCAAGCACAGGTTGCTGTGTGAAAGCACTAGGCAAGAATCATGTCTTAAGTTTATTATACACGATGGTAGTGCGGAACATGCAGCAAGATTGGCTACTAGGAGTATCAAACTGTTGACTAGGAGACTCTGAAAAGCTCTTGATTAGACCTGGCTGGGTGGCTCGGTTGGTTGGAGCATCGCCCATACACCAACAGGTTCGATTCCTGATTCCCGGTCAGGGCACACACCTAGGTTGCCGGTTCGATCCCTGGTCCAGGTGTGTATGGAGGTAACTGATGGATGTTTCTCTCTCACATTGATATTTCTCTCTCTTTATCTCCCTCCCTGCCTGTCTCCCTCCCTCCTTTCCACTGTCTTTAAAAATCAATGGAAATCAATGGAAAAAAATATCCTCGGGGGAGGATTAACAACAACAACAAAAAGTGCCTCGTCCTTGGGAGCAGCAGGCTGTGAGGAGGGGGGTCCGGTCTCTGAGGAGGGGTGTCCATAGAGAGCTGAGCGGGCCGGTGAGCACAGGGCTTGGCCTGTGGCAGATGTGAGCGGGGTTTGAAGGGCTATTACGTAACGAGTGGATGTGTTGGCTCAGGAAGAGGGAGGGGGACCCATGGGCACACGGAGCTGCGCAGGTTGCAGCCTCCCCAGCTGCCGGAGAGCTGCCATCGGCTGCCTTGGGGATGAGAGGTCCCCAGACTCTGGGAAAGTTCCAGCAGAAGCCGGACGGGCTGCTAGGAGGGAAGCTTTCAGGAAAGGCGCTGCTTCAATGCAAGTCAAGTGAAAGACCCCAGGGCCTCTCCCGCCCTCCGACCTTCAGCCCAGGAGGCCAGGGGAGGGCAGTGAGGTTTTGGGTAATAACCTTCAGCCCAGGAGGCCAGGGGTGGGCGGTGAGCTTTTGTGTAATGACCTTCAGCCCAGGAGGCCAGGGGTGGACAGTGAGCTTTTGTGTAATGACCTTCAGCCCAGGAGGCCGGGGGAGGGCAGTGAGGTAAGAGCCACGGCTGGGCCCATGGCACTCTGCTCTCCGATCTCTCCTGACCACCAGGACTCCCGTCTGTCTCGCTGGCCAGGTTCTCAGTCCTCACTGGTTTCCAGAGCGAGACTTCGGATCCCTCCACCTCCTTTCCTTTCAGTCATTCCCACCATGGCTCCCCGGCCGC